GATGCAAAGGCATAAGAATGATACAATGGGGCCAGGTGCTGTGGCTCACACTTCTGTAACCCAGCATTTTGGGAAGCCGAGGTTGGTGGATAACCTGAAGTCAGGAGTTCGAGACTGGTTTGGCGAACGCCGTGTCTATTAAAAATACAAAAATTAGGCTGGGCGTGGTGGCAGGCGCCTGTAATCCTAGCACTTTTGGGAGGCTCAGTCGGGTGGATTGCCTGAGTTCAGGAGTTCGAGGCTAGTCTGGGCAATACGGTGAAACCCCGTCTCTACTAAAGCACAAAAAATTAGCTAGGTGTGGCGGTGTGCACCTGTAGTTACAGCTACTCGGGAGGCTGAGGCAGGAGAATTGCCTGAACCCAGGAGGTGGAGGTTTCAGTGAGCCCAGATCACACCACTGCACTCCAGCCTGGGGACAGAGCAAGACTCTGTCTCAAACAAACAACAAACAAACCCCAAAATTAGCCAGGCGTGGTGGTGCGTGCCTGTAATCCCCAGGTACTCAGGAGGCCTCAGCACAAGAATCACTTGAACCCAGGAGGCAGAGGTTGCAGTGAGCCGAGATCGCCTGCTACTGCACTCTGGCCTGAAAAAAAAAAAAAAAGAAAAAAAGTTACAATGAAATTTGGGGACTTGGGTGGGAAAGAGTGGGAAGGAGGTGAGGGATAAAAGACTACAAATTGGTTTCAGCCTATACTGCTCAGGTGATGGGTGTACCAAAATCTCTCAAATCACCACTCATGTAACCAAATACCACCTGTTCCCCAAAAATCTATGGAAATAAAAAATGAGAAAGGAAGAGAATAGGTGTAAACCTGGAAAAACCAGGGATACTGGGGGGACGTGGCCCAAGTCAGTCTTCCTGGCTCTGGTGGGCGATGGGGGCAGAGGCTTAGCCATTGAGAGACGGGAGTGGGGAAGGAGGCATGAAAGGATGGTTTGAACTTGCCCCAGCTCTCACCAATCCCTTCTCCATCCTCTCTGGCTCTCTCAGACCTCATTCCAAGCAACGGTTCTGCAGACACTGTTCTCACAACTGCTTCACACTAAAGTGACATGACAGTGAAAGTCTTAACTCATTCCTTTTCCTGTGTGTATTTACGCCTTAAGAGGAAACACTTTCAACCAGGCATGCTGGCTCATGCCTATTTGCTGACTCAGCAATTTGGGAGACCAAGGCGGGCGGATCACCTGAGGTCAGGAGTTCGAGACCAGCCTGGCCAACATGGGGAAACCCCTTCTCTACTAAAAATACAAAAATTAGCTGGGTGTGGTGGCGTGTGCCTGTAATCCCAGCTACTCAAGAGGCTGAGGCAGGAGAACCGCTTGGACCCAGGAGGTGAAGGTTGTAGTGATCTGAGATCATGCCACTGTACCCCAGCTTGGGTGACAGAGTGAGACCCTCTCTCAAAAAAAAAAAAAAAAAAAAAAAAGGAAAAACTTTAAGAACATGATGACTTAATAGAATTACTCGTTTATGGTGGGATTGTATACCTTGAGCCGGGAGCTGGAAGGAATGCAAGGATTGACCAAGGATTGTGGCAGGGGCACATAGAGCCACCGTGGGCTGGGTGCTCCCACCAATGAGGGCCTCTCTCTCGGGCTGTGTATTTGGAGGGCAAGGAAAGAAGGCCTTGATGAAGCCCTGAGGTGGGGTTTGTGCTGGGGGACCTGCTTTTCCATCCCTCTCTCATTTAACTTCCAACTCCCAAGCCTCCTTCTCTCCCTGTCTTCCTCCCACCCACTCCAAACAATCTGCCTGTGACTGGTTTTTCCGCTCTCTTTGCTACTTGAACAGGAGGCTGTCAGAAGCTGTTCTGCTCCAACGAGGAGAACCAATGACTCTCATTTGTGGGGTGCTCTTTGTCTTGACCTCAAGTTTTGTTTCAAGCCCTTTGGAGGGTTCCCTCTTTTTTCTTTTGAGACAAGTTCTCGCACTGTCAGCCAGGCTAGGATGCAATGGCATGATCATAGCTCACTGCAGCCTCAACCTCCCAAGACTCAAGTGATCCTCCCGCCTCAGCCTCCCAAGTAGCTGGGACCACAGGCACAGGTCACCATGCCCAGCTGATTTTTGTGATTTTTTGTGGAGATGGAATTTTGTCATGTTGCCCAGGCTGGTCTCCAAATCCTGAGCTCAAGCAATCCACCCACCTTGGTCTCCCGAAATACTGGGATTCCAGGTGTGAGCCACCGTGCCCGGTCATATGAGAGGGCATTTGAGCAGAGACTGCGGCAAGGTGGAGCGTGAGTTACGTGGATGTCAGGGGAAAAGTATTTGGAAAAACAGGAGAGCCTTGCAAGGGAAGTGAGCTCCGTGTGGGCTGGGTGTATCTGTTGAGTGGATACATTCCTGGGAGCTTTTGGACTACAGTTTGGCTGTGGCTTGCTCCTGAGAAAGTCTTTTTTTTGTTTATTTGTGTTTGTTTTTTTGAGATGGAGTCTTCCTCTGTCACCCAGGCTGGAGTGCAGTGGCGTGATCTTGGCTCAGTGCAATCTCTGCCTCCAAGGTGCAAGCTATTCTCCTGCCTTAGTCTCCTGAGTAGCTGGGATTACAGACAAGAGCCACCACACCTGGCTAATTTTTGTATTTTCAGTAGAAATGGGGTTTCACCATGTTAGCCAGGCTGGTCTTGAACTCCTGGCCTCAAGTGATCCGCCTGCCTTGAGAAAGTTCTTTTTAATTTTTGGTTTCACATCAGTCCTTTAAATAGAGGACCAGGCTGTGACCGGGTCATCAGGACAGGTTATCTGCTTTCCCACGGGTGTGCCTGGGCTGCAGGAACCTTGTTGCTGAGACTGGAAACGGCTTGTTGAGGCAGGTGCTGCATTCGTTTCTGGGGCTGCTGCAGCGAGGTACCATCGACTGGGAGGCTTAAACCACAGAAATTTATGGTCTCACAGTTCAGGAGTGCCGGGATTATAGGCGTGAGCCAAGGATTCCCTTTCCTTGAAAGTGACTGATAACGCTCCGCTTTCCGCTACAGCCATTTCACCCTCTGCCTGGTTTGGTAACTGAAGCCTTCTGAAATGAACCAGTGTCAGGCCCCCGTGAGGACTCCATCCCCAATTCAGGAAGCACAGAGGTGGAGCATAATTCCCCCGATTTGTTTACGTGCAGCCGACTTCTCTCAAGGTTGTGTGCCTGTTTCGTAAAAATTTTGTTTGCGAGACAATGTGAAAGAAATCCTTAAAGTTCACGGAGTGCCAGGTGGATATGACATTCTGGTCCTTGGTTCCCCCAAGAAAAACAGCAATCTCCAGAAAGCAAGTCAGCAGAATCCAGGGATGTTCCTCGAGGCCTGACAACTTAAGAGCGATCATGGGAAGGCATTCAGAGGACCGCAGCAGAGGATCAGGTCAAGGGAGCCTATCTCCTAAAGGAAAGATCGAGAGGAACCATGCCCCCCCCACTACCACCTGGGCTGCTCAGCTGGGCACAGAAGCAGCCAGGGATATTTTAATTCAGATGCTCACATATGATTCAGTTGCCACATGAGGATGATTCGCGGCGATTTTCCACCTTGAGGTAAAGCAGGACAATGCACGTAAAGAGGTTTGCAGCCCCAGGACCGGGTTTTCAGCTGGTTTTTCTACCCCAGAGTGTAAGGCATGCAGGCTGTGCCATCAGCACCACAGACGGCCCCAGAACCCGTAATAACGTTCCAGAAGGTTTTATTGCTAAATTAGTGTCAGAGCTCCAGGGAACACATTCAGATATAGTCACACTGAGTCAGAGCTCGAGGGAAGAGCTGTAAGCTGGGAACGAGAGAACCGATGACAAGGCAGCGGCCTCTTCTGGCAGCTTCCGGAGGAGCCCCGAGTTAATGTGACATCATCCCTTGAGGCAGCAGGTAACTTACTATGTTATGAGCACTGTTCCCAGTATTCTACAAACACAATACTCACAGCAGTGGAGGTGACATTGAGGTAGGGGCTGGGTTCTGTTTTTTGTTTTTTTTTTGACTCCCACTCTGTCGCCCAGGCTGGAGTGCAGTGGCGCAATCATAGCTCACTGCAGCCTTGAACTCCTGGGCTCAAGTGATCCTCCCTCCTCAGCCTCCCGAGTACCTGGGACTACGGGTGTTCGCTGTTGTACCCGGTGAGGGTTTGTGGGGAGCTGTCTCGTTATGTTGCCCAGGCTGGCCTCGAGCTTCTGGATCCAGGTGATCCTCCCACCTCAGCCTCCCAAAGTGCTGGGATTATAGGGGCGAGCCACTGTGCCCCACCAAGGTGGGGGTTATTATTATCCCAGTTTTACTGATGAGAAAACTGAGTCCCAGAGAAGTTGGTGACTTTGCTCAAGGACACACACAGCTGGGACTTGAATTCAGGCAGCGTGGCCACAGAACCCCACCATGAACCGCTACGCTATACTGTGTTTTGTAAAATGACATGATGGTCACGTGAGGCAGTGTGTAATGATATGGCAGAGTTTTGTGCTCAGGATGTGAAAATGAGTATGTGCTGCCTTTCATGGTCATCTCTTGAGTTCTGGCTCATGACCTGAACTCTTCTTTTCCAAGACCCTTCCTTCTCCCACTAGGAAAGATACCATATTTGATACCTGAACAAATAGCCTTTAAGATACCAGTTTATGGGTCTTTTTAGAATTTGTAGCTGGGTGCAGTGGCTCATGCCTGTAATCCCTCACTTTGGGAGGACAAGGCAAGAGGATCGCTTGAGGCTGGGAGTTCAAGACCAGCCAGGTCCATATAGTGAGACCCCATCTCTACGAAAAATTTAAAAATTAGCTTGGCATGGTGGCACACATCTGTTGTCCCAGCTACTCAGGAGGCGAGATGGGAAGATGGCTTGAGCCCAGGAGTTCAAGGCTGCAGTGAGCCTGGGTGACAGAGCGAGATCTCGTCTATTAATTAAAAACAAAATAAAAAAAAAAAAAAAGAATTTGTGTTGACTGGGACTGGAAAGTTGAAACAGACCAAGAGGTTGTCCAAGGTTGTCCTCAAGGCTGAGAAACAAGACTCAACCCTGGGTCAGTTGCAGTCAAACTTTATTCATCCATTCACACCTGAGTCCCTCCCGGCCCCCACCTACCCTGGTCCTGTGTACTCAGGGCTTCCCAGATGGGGCGTCAGGGTGGCTTTGCTTCCAGATGCCTGCTCCCCCGGATGTGAGCCATGCCCTCCAGGATCTAAGGGAGGAGGACTGAAGGAGTCTTCGTCCTCCAGGCAGCAGGTGTGGAAACATCCGTCTCAGTGGCTGCTTGGTGGCGGCGGTGTGGATGGGTGTGGCTCTCTGTTTGCTGGGGGGTATTCTGCCAGGATGTATAGGAAGCCACCCAGGGCTGCCACCGCTGTGGCTGTGTTGTGGGAGGAGCAGCCATCTGCGGGAAGAGAGCCCCTGTGAGTGCTGGGTGGCAAGAACATTGGCCCTTTAATCAACACAGTCCCATTGAAAGTGCGTTTCAGCCAGGCGCGGTGGCTCACGCCTGTAATCCCGCACTTTGGGAGCCTGAGGTGGGCGGATCACTTGAGATCAGGAGTTCGAGACCAGCATGAGCAACATGATGAAACCCTGTCAGTCTCAGCTACTTCAGAGAATGAGGCAAGAGAATGACTTGAACCCAGGAGGCAGAGGTTGCAGTGAGCCGAGATCGTGCCACTGCACTCCAGCCTGGGCCACAGAGCAAGACTCTGTCTCAAAAAAAAAAAAAAAAGTGCTTTGCAGATACTGTTTCAGGCAACTTGCAAGACACTGAGTGGGTGCTTCAGTGCTCCCTTAGGCCCCTTTTGCTGGGCCGGGTGCCCTTCTCTGGGAGGTATGTCCCTCCTAAATAACTTACCAATACAGGGATACAAAAGCCTGGCCACCTTGTCCCAGGGGGATGACTCTGTGGTGCAATTTATGCTCCAAGGCATTCCCCTCCCATCCCTGAGGGGGGATCTGACCTGAGACCGCATCCTGTCCAGCTCCTGCCTGGCTTAGCCTGCTTCCCTGACTTACATACCTCAATAAACCACATGCACCAGAATCCTGTCCCAGGTCCTGTGTAAGACCTTCTGAGATAGGGAAACTGAGGCTCGGGTAGCCAAGCTGAGCCCCCGGCCCTGGTGACTCCACAGCTCATTTTCTGACCCCAACCGCCTTCCTGTTAGTTGCCGCTGGTCTGCCTGGTCCCATGTGACCTCATGGTTCATGGAGTCAGAGTCTCAGGCCTGCGCACTTGCCTGAGATAATAACCCTTAGATGTAGTTAGTTCTTTGAGCTCAAAGTGGGCTGCACGCCTCTAGTCTCACAATCTATCCGCTTGTGGGAGGGAGTCAGGAATTCTTTCTTCTCTGCCAGAAACTTTGGGAAGGGGACGGGACCCCAGCCAGGTCCCTTGAAGGGAGGGAGAATGCAGATTTCAAGGTGCTGAATGATTAACCCTGGCAGTTCATGCCTCCTGGTGGTCTACTGTATGCCACATACAATAGGGAGGGCTTTGCACGATGATCAGTCATTAGCCCCCAACAGTTTGGTGCCCATTTTACAGATGAGGAAAATGAGGCTCAGAGAGGTTGTGTGACTTTCACAGCAAGTAAGAGGCAGAAGCGGGACTCGAACCCACACAACCTGACCTCAAACCCTGTGCTCCTAGTCTCTACACCAGCTGCCTCCTGCTCCGTGGGCTTGTGTCATAAGTGGAAGAATGAGCACACCCCTGCCGGGCAGTTTTGTAGGCTGCTGGTCAACCTGGAGGTGCCTTAGGGAGGGCCTTGGGCTCTGGAATTTCTGCGTCTTCCGCTCCAGTCCCTAGGACAGTTCTTGTGTTGGGCTGTCTGACTCTGGGAACAGGCAGTTGACCAGGTAGTATACAGCAGGCCCCTACCACCCCAGCCATAGGCAGCCCCAGCCCCTCTGTGTCAGGAAGGCCTAGCTAGGGTAGAGGCCTCTGGAAGTCTCCTGAGAACTTTTCTCCCTTCTGCCTGAGCTTTGGTGGCAGCTGCGAAACTGACTCACTGGATTTCTGCTTTCACTCCTCTGTCCTGTCCACCTGTAGGCGGATGATGAGGCCATAGTGGGGTTGATGGAGAGACGTTTAGTTACTGGAATCATATACCCACGTATGTTGGACATCTACTCTGTGAGGTGGTTATTCCATATCCCTTCCTGCTTTTGCCCGCAGTTATTTAAGTTTTACTTTATTTTATTTTATTATTATTATTTTTGAGACAGAGTCTCACTCAATCACCCAGGCTGGCGTGCAGTGGCACAATCTCAGCTCACTGCAACCTCCGTCTCCTGGGTTCAAGCGATTCTCCTGTCTCAGCCTCCCAAGTAGCTGGGACTACAGGCATGCGCCACCACGCCTGGCTAATTTTTGCATTTTTGGTAGAGATGGGATTTCACCATGTTGGCCCAGCTGGTCTTGAACTTCTGACCTCAGGTGATCCACCTGCCTTGGCCTCCCACAGTGCTGAGATTACAGGTGTGAGCCATCGCACTTGGCCTGTCTCCCCACTTTCTAAGAGGAGACCATCAGTGACCCCCAGCCTCCCTTCCACCTCCCAAACATGAAGGGCCTCTGATTAGTGCCCCTTTGGTGATGCCAAGTGCTTTTCTTCCATAGCAGAGAATAAACACAGGCCTCTGTTTTGCTAGGATATCTCAGTTTCATGTCAAGAAACTCCCTTGGGTATTTTTATTACCTGAAAATTGTTTTTCTCGCCTCTTCACTCTCCTCAAAAAATGCTGTTGATATTGGATAGCTTTAGATAATTCTTCATCTTCAGCATCTGGGAGAAGAGCAAAAGTTGAACTTCTCAAGAGAGATTTTTATTTTTTATGTTTTTATTTCTTTTTACTTCTTTTCTTTTATTTTAGAGATAGGGTCTCATTCTATTGGCCAGGCTGGGTGCAGTGGCACAGTCATAGCTCACCGCAGCCTCAAACTCCTGAGCTCACACAATCCTTCCTGCCTCAGCCTACCAAGTAGCTGGGACTACAGGCATGAACTACCATGTCCAGCTATTAAAATTTTTTTTGTTGTTTTGGTAGGGATGGGATCTCGCTATGTTGCCCAGGCTGGCCTTGAACTGCTGGGCTCAAGTGAGCTTCCGGCCTTGGCCTCCCAAAGTACTGGATTATATGTGTGAGCCACTGCAACTGGTCTCAAGGTGAATTTTTAAATGTTACTCACTAAACCTCCTGCCCCAATAACATTTCAAGGAAATTAGGTCTTCTCTTGAAACTTGAGGCTATTCCAGAAGTTTCCATCTGCACCTGTCTGCAGATCCTTTTGCATGGCCTAAACTTGTCATCTACTGATGGTTTCCCAAACTGTGGTTCCCCAAACACCCACCATCGGAACCACTGGACGTGCTTGTTAAAAATGTAAGTCCCTCCAAGACAAGCAAAAACTGAGGGAATTCATCACCACTAGACTGGCCTTACAAGAAGTGCTCAAGGGAATCCTACATCTGAAAAGAAAAAGACAGTAATCACTATCATGAAAACATGAAAAGGTATAAAAGTTACTGGTAGAGGAGAAACAGGAGAAAGAGAAAAGAAGCAAAACGATCACTAGAGAAAAGCACCAAGTAGCAGTGATAACAATAAGAAAGGAAGAAAAAAATCAAAGGATATAGAAGATAACCAGAAAACAATGAATGAAATGATAGGAGTAATTCCTCACAAGCCAATAATAACCTTGAATGCAAATTGATTCAATCCCCCACTTAAAAGATATATAGACTGGCTGAATAAATGAAAAAAACATGATCCAACTATATGCTGCCTACAAGAAACTCACTTCACTGGCAAAGACACATATGGAATGAAAGTAAAAGGGTGAGAAAAGATCTTCCGCATAAATGGAAACCAGAAGGGAGAAGGAGTAGTTATACTTAGATAAAACAGACTTTAAGTCAAAAACTGTAAAAAGAGACAAAGAAGGTCATTATATAATGTTAAAAGAATTAATTTAGCAAGAGGACATAACAATTCTAAAAATATATGTATTAAACACACTGGAGAATCCTAAAGCAAATGTTATTAGATATAAAGGGAGAGATAGACTCCAATACAATAATAGCTGAGGACATCAACACCTTGCCGTCAGCATTGGACAGATCATCTAGGCAGAAACTCAACAAAAAAACACTGAACTTAAACTGCACTTGAGACCAAATGAATCTAACAGACATTTACAGAACATTTTATCTAACTGCTGCAGAATATATATTCTCATCAGCACATGGAACAGTCTCCAAAATAGACCATATGTTAGGCCAAAAAACAAGTCTCAGCAAATTTAAAAGAATTTGAATCATAGCAAGTATCTTCCTGACCACAATGGAATAAAAGTAGAAAGCAATAACAAGAGGAATTTTCAAAATTGTACAAATACAGGGAAATTAAACAACATGTTCCTGAATGACCAATGAACAAATGAAGAAATTAAGGAGAACATTTAAAAATTTCTTAACACAAGTGAAAATAGAAACACAATATGCCAAAACCTATGGGATATATAGCAAAAGCAGTATTAAGAGGGAAATTTACTTCAATAAATGCCTACATCAAAAAAGCAGAAAGATTTCGAGTAACGAACTAATGATACATCTCAAGGAACTAGAAAATCAAGACCAAATCAAGCCCCAAGCTAGTAGAAGGAAATAAATTGTAAAGATCAGAGCAGAAATAAATAAGAGACTAAAGAAACAATACAAAAGATCAATGAAACAAAAAGTTGGTTTTTAAAAAAGATCAACAAATAGATAAATTATTAACTAGACTAAGAAAAAAACGACTCAACTAAATAAAATCAGAAAGAAAAAGGAAATATTACAACTGATAACACTGAAATACAAAGGATCATTAGAGACTATTACAAACAACAAATTAGAAAACCTAGTGGAGTGTGCCAGGCATAGTGACTCATGCTTGTAATCCCAGCACTTTGGGAGGCTGAGGTGGGCATATCACTTGAGGTCAGGAGTTCGAGACCAGCCTGGTCAATATGGTGAAACCCTGTCTCTACTAAAAATACAAAAATTAGCCAGGTGTGGTAGTGGGCGCCTGTAATCCCAGCTACTCGGAGGCTGAGGCAGGAGAATCACTTGAACCTGGGAGGCGGAGGTTGCAGTGAGCTGACATTGCGCCACTGCACTTCAGCCTGGGCAACAGAACGAGACTCTGTCTCCAAACAAAAGAAAACCTAGTGGAAATTGATAAATTCCTGGACACATACAACATACCAAGATTGAACCAAGAAGAAATAGAAAACCTGAACAGACCAATTATGAGTAATGGGATTGAATGTGTAATAAAAAGTCTCCCCAAAACAAAAAGCCCAGGACCCGACAGTTTCACTGATGAATTTTACCAAATATTTGAAGAACAAATACCAATTCTTTTCAGTCTCTTCCAGAAAATTGAAGGGGAGGAAATTTTTCCAAACTCATTCTACAAGTTCAGCATTACCCAATACTAAAACCAGACAAGGACACAACAACAACAAAACTATAGGCCAATTTCCCTGATGAACCTAGATGCAAAAATCCTTAACAAAATACTAGCAAACCAAACCCAGCAATACATTAAAAATCATTCATGGCTTTCCTACTTTGACCACTTCCAGTAAGTAATTGAATGTTTTGCATTACAAAAAAAAAAGTCATTCATCATGAACAAGGAGACTTTATTGCAGGGATGCAAGGATTGTTCAACGTATGTAAATCAATAAATATGACACATTACACCAATAGAATGAAAAACAAAAATCATATCATCATCTTAATAGATGCAGGAAAATGCATGTGATGAAATTTAACATCCCTTCATTATAAATCTCTCAATATGTTAGGTATAGAAGGAATGTACCTCAATATAATAAAGGTCATATATGACAAACCCACAGCCAACATTACACTGAATGAGGAAAAGATGAAAGCTTTTCCTCTAAGAAGTGGAACAACACAAGAGTGCCTACTTAACCATTTTTATTCAACATAGTACTAGAAATCCTAGCCAGAGCAATTAAGCAAGAGAAACAAAAAAGGGCATCCAAATGAAAAAGGAGGAAGTCAGATTATCCCTGTTTGCAGATGACATGATCTGATAGACAGGAAACCCTAAAAGCTCCACCAAAAAAACTCTTAGAACTGAATGAATTCAATGAATTCAACAAAGTTGCAGAATACAGAACAATCATACAAAAAAACAGTAGCATTTCTATATGCAATGAATAAAAAAAAATCAAGTAATCTATTTACTAAAAAAATACCCCCGGTGGCCAAGCCTGTAACCAGCATTGAGCGAGTCGGATACAGAGAATCAAGAACAGTAACCCTTCTAAAAATAAAAAATACCCTCGGCGCTTAGCTATAAGAGCTAGCAGAGAATAACCAGAAGCAGCTCAGTACGAATCGCAACCCATGGAAGTAGAGCTAAAAAAAAAAAAAAAAAATAAAAAAAAATAAAAACAAAATACCCAGGAATAAATTTAACCAAGGAGGTGAAAGATCTCTACAAGGAAAACTGTAAAAGACACTAATAAAAGAAATCAAAGAGAACACACAAAAAATGAAAAGACATCCCATGTTTATGGATTGGAAGACAATATTGTGAAAATATCCATACTAACAAAGTGATCTACAGATTGAATCAAAATACCAATGACATTCTTCACAGAAATAGAAAAAAAAAATCCTAAAATTTATATAGAGCCACAAAAGACCGCAAATAGCCAAAGCAATCCTAAGGAAAAAGAACAAAGCTGGAGGAATCATATTACTGGACTTCAAAATATGCTTCAAGGCTACAGTAAACAAAACAAGGTCAGGTGCAGTGGCTCACTCCTATAATCCCAGGACTTTGGGGGGTCGAGGTGAGCAGATCACTTGAGACCAAGAGCTCAAGACCAGCTTGGCCAACATGGAGAAACCCTGTCTCTACTGAAAATACAAATATTAGCTGGGCATGGCGGTGGTGGGTACCTGTAATCCCAGCTACTTGGGAGGCTGAGGCAGGAGAAGCACTTGAACCCGGGAGGTGGAGGTTGCAGTGAGCCAAGATTGTCCTACTGCACACCATCCTGGGTGACTGAATGAGACTGTCTGAAAAAAAAAAAAAAAAAGAAAAAGGAAAAGAAAAAGGCAAATAAGCTGCATAGACGTCTCAAAAGAAGGCATACAAATGGCCAACAGGTCTATGAAAAATGCTCAGCATCCCTAATCATCAGGGAAATGCAAATCAAACCACAATGAGATAGCATCTCACACTACTATCAAAAAGACAAAAAAATGGCCAAGTGCAGTGCCTCACGCCTCTAATCCCAGCACTTTAGGAGGCCGTGGCTGGTGGATCACTTTGAACTCAGAAGTTCGGGATCAGCCTGGGCAACATGGTGAAACTCCGTCTCTACAAAAAATAAAAAAATTAGCCGGGTGTTGGTGGCTCCCACTGTAGTCTCAGCTATTCAGGAGGCTGAGGCAGGAGAATCACTTGAACCCGGGAGGCAGAGGTTGCAGTGAGCCGAGATTGCACCACTGCACTCCAGCCTGGGTGACAGAGTGAGACCGTGTCTAAAAAGAAAAAGAAAAAAAAAAAAAAAGACAACAAATAAATGCTGGCAAAGATGCAGAGAAAGGAGAACTCTTACACACTCTTGATGGGAATGTAAATTAGTACAGACATTATGGAAAGCAGTATGGAGATTTCTCAAAAAGCTAAAACTAGGACTTGGATAAATACCACTACTGGGTGTTTATCCAAAGGAAAGGAAATTGGTATGTTGAAGCGACATCTGCACCTCCATGTTTATTGCAGCACTATTCACGGTAGCCAAGATGCAGCAACCTGAGTGTCTCTCAGCAGATGAATGGACAGAGAAAATGTGGTATACAGACCTAATGAAATACTATTTAGCCATAAAAATAACCAAATTATTTCATTCATAGCAACATCAATGAACATGGAGGACATTATATTAATTGAAGTAAGCCAGGCATGGAAAGATAAATGTTACATGTCCTTCCTCATTTGTGGAGGCTACAAAAATTGATCTCATAGAAGTGGAGTGTTGAGTCAGGTCACCTATAATCCCAGTATTTTGGGAGGCTGAGGCAGGTGGATCACTTGAGGTCAGGAGATCCTGACCAGCCTGGCCAACATGGTGAAACCCTGTGTCTACTAAAAATATGAAAATTAGCTGGGCATGGTGGCACACACCTGTAGTACCAGCTACCCGGGAGGCTGAGGCAGGAGAATGGCTTGAACCTGGGAGGTGGAGGTTGCAGTGAGCTGAGATAGCGCCACTGCACTCCAGCCTGGGTGACAGAGCGAGACTCCATCTCTAAAAAAAAAAAAGAAGGGGAGTGTTGAATAGTGGTTACTAGAGGTGGGGAGGGGGATGGGGAGAAGAGATAACCAGAGGTTGGTTAGACGATGCACTAGTATGGCCAGGAGGAGGAATAAGTGGTACTGTTCCATAGCGCTATAGGGTGATTGCAAATAACAACAATTTGTGGCATGGTTTTTTTTTTTTTTTTTTTTAAAGACGGTATCTCGCTGTGTCACCCAGGCTGAAGTGCAGTGGTGCAGTCATGGCTCATAGCACCCCTTGACCTCCTGGGGCTCAAGTGATTCACCCACCTCAGTCTCCCAAGTAGCCAGGAGCATAGGCGTGCGCCACCACGCCTGGCTAATTTTTTTGATATTTTTAGTACACATGGGGTTTTGCCATGTTGGCCAGGCTGGTTTCTAATTCCTGAGCTCAAGCCATCCACCTGCCTTGGCCTCCCAAAGTGCTGGGATTATAAGGCATGAGCCTATTGCGTATTTTCAAATAGCTAGAAGAGCGAATTTGGAATGTTCCCAACACAAAGAAATGACAGATGTTTGAGGTGATGCATCTGCTCATTACATATTGTATACCTGCATGGAAATATCACACTGTACCCTATAAATATGTACATTATTACGTGTCTATGGAGAATAATAGTAAAGCCAAAAATGCAAGTTCCATAGCCCCATCCTCAACCTGCTGAAGCTTTAGGTCTGGGGTCCTAAGAATCTTCATTGTATAAACTCTGTTTTAAAAACACACCATCTTATTTCAAAAGCGTTTGCTTCTTGGAGCATCCCGAGCTTCTAATGAGGACACTAGCATTTCCTGGGAGCTGCCCTGTGCCTGGCACAGGCTATGCGGCTTCAAATGTGTCACAGCGACTCTCCTTGCAGCTCAGGAAGGTCGGGATTACTATGTTCATTTATTTACAGACAGGGAAATTGAGGCTCAGAGGGGTGAAGCAGCTTATTCCAAAGGGACCAGCTGTTCAGTGTCACCCAGCTAGGAAGTGGCTGAGTCCTCTGCGTCTCCACCCTCTGCTCTGTCACCTCCTCCTGTGTAGTTGTTTCTGACCACCCACCTGGAGAGCCTTCCCTGGAGTTTTCTTCCTCACCCTGTCGTCTCCTTTATAGCTCTTACCAGAACGTGCAATTCTTTAACTTCTTGGTTTGTTCAGGTGATTTATGTTTCTTTTCCTCGGGGCTCTGGTTTTTCCTAGAGCCTAGATGGTGTCTGGCACATTAGTAGGTGCTCAGTATGTACTTGCTGAATGAATGGTGATGTGGTGTGGCTGTGTCCCCACCCAAATCTCATCTTGAATTGTAGCTCCCATAATTCCCAGGTGCTGTGGGAGGGACCTGGTGGGAGGTAACTGAATCATGGGAGCCGTTTCCCCCATACTGTTCTCATGGTGGTAAGTCTCACAAGAGCTGATGGTTTTATAAGGGATTTCCCTTTGTGCTTGCTTCTCATTCTCTCTTGTCTGCTGCTATGTGAGACGTGCCTTTTGCCTTCCACTATGATTGTGAGGCCTCCCCAACCATGTGCAACTGTGAGTCCATTAAACCTCTTTTTCTTTATAAATCACCCAGTCTTGGGTTTGTCTTTATCTTCAGCCTAAAAACAGTACAATACAAATGGGCTTGTTAATGCAGCTGCAGGGGCTAACACCTTCCAATAAGGCGGGCTCCTGTCTTGCCACATTTTGGCTTCCAAAGCTCTGAGCCTGTTTCTACTTGTGTGCACACATGTCTGTGTGTGTGTGCACCTGCAGGTTACAAATCCCTCACCAACCTTAACACCAATGCATTGTTTCCACACCTGGCCTAGAAACCCAGCGCCGCCCCCCACCCCCCCACTGTCCCCGCTCTTAGCCAGGGCAGCAGCGCAGCTCACCGGGCTCCCCGAAGCATCCTTCCCGCTGTTTCTGCCAGCTGAGGATGGCCTCCAGCCACCGGAGCTTGTAGAAGTCGGAGAAGCCGCCCATTCCACAGAACATGACTGGAAGTAAAGACGGGGGCCCTCTGCAGGCCTGCCCCCCAGGCCCACCTCCTCCCACTCCCCAGGGCTGCCACGGTACCACCTGCGTTCATCTGCCTGGGTTAGGCAGCACTAGGGGGTGGGCGTTCAATGCAGGGGCTGGAAGGAGGCAGCTCGAGCCTTTGCCTGAGCAACTAGGGGCTCCCACACTTGTGTCCCACCTCCCACTGAGGGCCTTGGTCAGGGCTGCTCCAAAGTCAGGGTCAGTGGAGGGGTTTGGACACCCCAGCCAGCGAGAAGCCGCCCAAGGGCTCCCTGTCTCACCCATCCATATGACTTTGCAGGTCTATCTGCCAGTGACCTGGTCCATCTGTGTAGAGCTTAGTCACTGGGGCAGCCTTTGGGGCCAGGAAGCTGTCACACAGTGGCAGGTGAAATACAGGATGCCCAGTTACATTTGGGTTTTCGATAAACAATGAATATAATTTTTGAGTATAAGTATAACCCATGAAATATTTGGGATAAACTTATACTAAAAATGGATTCATTGCTTATCTGAAGTTCAAATTTAACTGAGCACTCTGTTTACTTGCTTAATCTGGCAACTCTGTGTGTGTGTGTGTGTTTGTGTTGGTCGGGGGACACCCTGCTCCTTTGTCCCTGGGGCAGAATGCTGGCCATACTGTTTTCCATGAAGATGTCCCGGGTAGGGTAGGCATATCCGATGGCCTCAGCTCTGCGGTTCAGGTCCATCATGTTGGCGCAGAAGAGGTTGATATAGTCCTGGCTCTGTTGGAACGGTCCCTGTGTGCATCCCCTCTGGGGAGACAAACACCCAAAGACGAAGGAGTCAGTGGTATGGATGACAGACACGTGCCCTGCTATGGGAAAGTCTTGCAGTTCTGAGACAGTCTTGCAAGGGGCTGTGTTTAGGGCAGGTCTTTTTCTCCTTTTTGCAGGATTTCTTCCCCATGCACACCCCCAGCCTGCTGGGGCTCCTTCATCAGAGAGAGCTGGGTTCGAGATCCAGCTCTGCCAATTAGGAGCTGTGTGATCTTGATTTGCTAAAGTAACCTTTCTGAGCCTCAAGAGTTTTTATCGGGAAAGGGTGAGGCCGCTAGAAACTGCACCAGAGGGGCTCCCATGTGGGTGGATGACACAGCTGGGAAGTGCCCAGTGTGAGGCCTGAGCCACTAGGAGGTGCTGTATGATTGCGGGGAGGCAATGCAATCTACAACCAGCCTGACCCCGCGGGCAGCTTCAGTGCTACTCAAAGTGTGGGCCGAGAACCGGGCTGGTCACTGCCTACGCTGGGAGAAAAGGACAGGAGTTGACAGCAGACTTTAGACACTTCCGCAGCAGTGTTCAGAGTGACTTTCCACCTGTTGAATCTGATGATCAAAATCATTCCCTTGTAATATGGTTTTTATTGTATTTATTAAAATATTGGTCTGTCACAGCTTGCAGAGAAATAATCAGTTTTAAACTCTGTTGGGAAAAAAAAAAAACAGTGTCCCCTCAGCTAAGAATTTCTGGACAAAGATGATGAACCCCACTTTTCTGTATGAAGAAATTTATATGGCCAGGCGCGGTAGCTCACGCCTATAATCCCAGCATGTTGGGAGGCTGAGGCGGGCGGATCACGAGGTCAGGATTTCAAGACCAGCCTGGCCAAGATGGTGAAATTTCTTCTCTACTAAAAATACAAAAATTAGCTGGGCATGGTGGCATGTGCCTGTAATCCCAGCTACTTGGAAGGCTGAGGCAGATAATTGCTTAAATTCAGGAGGCAGAGGTTGCAGTGAGCCAAGATCACACCACTGCACTCCAGCCTGGACAACAGAGTGAGACTCTGTCTCAAAAAAAAAAGAAAAAAGAAAAAAATATATAGTGGCATATATATATATATATATATATATATATATAGTGGTGTGTGTATATATAAAGAAAAGAAATATATATTGTGGCATATATATTTTTATATATGTATGCCACATATATATATGCTACTATATATATGTGCCACTATATATATAGTTCTTTATTTTATATTTTTAATATGTGTATATAAAGTGCCATATGTATATATAGTGGCATATATACACGTGTGTGTGTGTGTGTGTGTGTGTATATATATATATATATGAGAATAATGTAGTGGCATGATCTCAGCTCACTACAGCCTCTGCCTCCCTGGTTCGAGTGATACTCCTGCCTTAGCCTCCTGAGTAGCTGGGATTACAGGTGCATGCCACCATGCCCAACTAATTTTTATATTTTTAGTAGAGACGGGATTTCACCTTGTTGGTCAGGCTGGTCTCGAACTCCTGATCTCAAGTGATCCACCCACCTTGGCCTCCCCAAGTACGGGGATTACAGGCGTGAGCCACGGTGCCTAGCCTCATTCATTTGTTTTTGTTTACAGAGTTCTTTCTGATGATTCTCTTTTATTCTCTCTGTCTTTCTCTTATTGTGTTTTTCTGATGCCCTGCAGTCCAGTTCAGCAGGCAAAGCTGTCTGTTTCACCGGCTCAGCAGAATCCCAAATGCCAGATCCCAAATTGGCTCAGTTACACAGCAGAAGTATGGTAGGGGCCCTACTTCTCCCTCCTGAAGTCCCAAGTACAAATCCAAAACTCTGCTTATTTTCCTGGTATGTAGCAGACAAAATTACATTGCCACAGGCCCCTTTTCATTTCTTTCTTTCTTTTTTCTTTTTCTTTTTTTTTTTTGAGACAGTCTCACTCCGTTGTCCAGGCTGGAGTGCAATGGCGTGATCTCGCTCACTGCAGCCTCTACCTCCCGGGTTCCAGCGATTCTCCTGCCTCAGCCTCCCCTTGTAGCTGAGATTACAGGTGTGCACCACCACGCCCAGCTAACTAATTTTTGTGTTTTTAATATAGAAGGGGTTTCACCATGTTGGCCCAGTTGGTCTTGAACTCCTGGCCTCAAGTGATCTGCCCGCCTTGGCCTCCTAAAGTGCTGGGATTACAGGTGTGAGCCACCACGTTCGGCCGCCCCTTTTCCTTTTTCCTTCCCCTTCCGCTGGCACGGCGGGGCTCCCTGGGTACTCACCATTCTGGCCCAGAGGAAGAAGAGCATTTGGTGGGACAGGCAGTAGCCCGAGCAGCCAGGCTTGGTCATGAGGCTCCTGCAGAGGTCTGAGAGGCCGCAGGGCTCGCTGCTGTCTGTCCTGGGGGAAAGTGGTTCCAAGCTGTTAAGGATGGAGCACTGACCCTGCCCTGCGTCTTCCCAGGTTGCGATCCAGCCTCCCAGTTGTAGTTCTTGGAACTCCCAGTAGATTCCAGACACCCAGCTGGGCGTGGGGGTTGCCAGAGAAAATATAGCAGTTCTGCATCTCGATTTGCTAAATCTGGCTGCCCTAGCACAGGAAAGATGATGCTAGAGCTATCCCGGGGTTGAGGAAGCCACCAAGGCTGAAACTTCCTCTTGCTCCCTGGGACAAATCACATCTTTTCCAGCCCTAAATGGTGGGTCCTTGAATCCAGACCACTTGGAATCTGGGCCCAACATGCTTATTCCTCCTGCACCAGCCGGGTGCGGCGGCTTACACCTGTAATCCCAGCACTTTGGGAGGCTGAGGCAGGCAGGTCACCTGAGGTCAGGAGTTCGAGACCAGCCTGGCCAACATGGAGAAACCCTGTCTCTACTAAAAACACAAAAATTAGCTGGACATGGTGACACACACCTGTAATCCCAGCTACTTGGGAGGCTGAGGTAGAATCACTTGAGAATCACTTGAATCTGGGAGGCAGAGGTTGCGGTGAGCTGAGATTGCATCACTGCACTCCAGGCTGGGAGACAGAGTGAGACTCCATCTCAAAATAAATAAATAAATGAAAAGAAAAAATACACATACAACTACAAAAATTAGCCGGGCGTGGTGGCATACGTCTGTAATCCCACCTGCTCAGGAGGCTGAGGCACGAGAATCGCTTGAACCTGAGAGGCAGAGGTTGCAGTGAGCCGAGAAAGAACACACCATTGCACTCCAGCCTGGATGACAGAGTGAGACTCTGTCTCAAAAAAAAATTAAATAAAATTTTTTAAGAAAGCAAGGGTCCTTGACTGGGGCCCAACCCCTCGGTGAGCTCAGCTATGTCCTGGCCCAAGCACTGCTCTGAAGGATGCTGAGAGGATGCGGCCTGGGCACCTGCTGCCCACTTTGCCCATGGGCTCCTGCGCCCAGGGCTGCCCTAGGGTCTTGCTCCAAGCCCACCAAGTACCAGGATAAAATGAGGAGCCCCACTAGGCTCAGTCCTGCCTTCCCGGACCTGCATCCTCACTGGGGATGGGGACAGGCCCATAATACAAATGTAAATTGCATCTGTGGCTATAAGACCTCTCACGGGAGGTCTGCTATGTGCTGGGGTCGGAGGTAGGATGGGGTTTGGAGGTAGGATGCTGGCACCAACCCTGGGGGATGGACAGACTTCCTGAGGCCCAAGGGGTGGGGTGGGTGGGGTGGGGGAGCAAAGTCTTTGAAGTGGGAGGGAGCCTGGGAGAGTCTGAAAAGAGGCCTCTAGGGGCCTGGGGACTTGGAAGGGTGGAGAGGAATTGGGAATTTGTCCTGGGACCTGGAGGTGGTGTGTTTAGCTGTGGCTGCTGGAAGACCCGCTGTGGCATGGGAGGCCAGCGGGCAGCTGGAGCAAGGGGCACCCTGCGAGAGTGGGAGAGGGCAGAGCCCGGCAGCTTTGGGGAGCTGCACCTGGGTCTGCACAAACCCCTGGCTTCAGCCCTGGGGGCTTGGAGAAGGAGGAGCGGGACAGGGCCAGCTGAGAACAAGTGCGTTTGGGTTTCCAGCAAATAGGGCAAGTGCAGGGCCCACCCGGTTCCCAGCAGCTGCACCAGGCATCCGTCGCTGCTCTCCTCTGAGAATGAGTCCTGGGGCTTGAACGTGGGGTAGACCAAGGAGGCGTTGGTGTGGATCCAGGCATGTGGGAGCTTCCAAAACCCGGGCTGGAGGGTCAGCTGGAACTCTGCCAGAGAGGACAGATAGGTGGGGCAGGCTGTGGGGGTGATCCACGAGCAGTGGGCCACCCTGGTGTCCCCACCCCCTCCGGCAGCTCTGCCCACTGGCAGGTGCAGCTCAGGGCTCTAAGCCCTGTCTCCTGGCTCCAGATTGGGTTTGAAACACTCAAGAAAGCTCCTTTCGCTTATAAAACCATTTTTTCCCCCAATCAATAGGAACAGTGTTGGGACGGGATTTGACTAAACCCACTGCATCCCATGGAAGACCCAGATAAATAAAAGGGTTCGTTTCCCAGGTGCGGGGCTCACACCTGTCATCCCAGCACTTGGGGAGGCTAAGGAAGGAAGATCGCCCGAGGCCCAAAGTTCCAGACCTGCCTAGGTGACATAGCAAGACTCTGTCTCCACAAAAATGAAAAAAGTAGCCAGGTGTGGTGGTGTGCACCTGTAGTCCCAGCTGAGGCAGGAAGATGCTGGAGAATGCAGTGAGCTATGATTGGCTTTTTTTTTTTTTTTTTTTTTTTTTTTTAGTGATAGGGCTCACGCCTATAATTCCAGCACTTTGGGAGGCCGAGGCGGGCAAATCACTTGAGGTCAGGAGTTCAAGACCAACCTGGCTAACACAGTGAAATCCTGTCTCTACTAAAAATATAAAAAATTAGCCGGGCGTGGTGGCGGGTGCCACCAGCTAATTTTTGGGGAGCTGCACCTGGGTCTGCACAAACTCCTGGCTTCAGCCCTGGGGGCTTGGAGAAGGAGCTACTTGGGAGGCTGAGGCAGGAGAATGGTGTGAACCCGGGAGGCGGAGCTTGCAGGGAGCTGAGATTGCGCCACTGCACTCCAGCCTGGGCAACAGACCAAGACTCCGTCTCAAAAAAAAAAAGAAAAAGAATTAGCTGGGCGTGGTGGCAGGTGCCTGTAGTCCCAGCTACTTGGGAGGCTAAGGCAGGAGAATCACTTGAACCCAGGAGGCAGAGGTTGCAGTGAGCCGAGACTGCACCACTGCACTCCAGCCTGGGCAACAGGGTGAGACTCTGTCTCAAAACAACAACAACAACAACAAGAAGTGGGGAGGTGGGATTAGCAGGGAGGTGATATTAGTAGACCCCTTCGGTTTGGTGAGAAAGTGGAGCTCTTAACTAAACAAGTGCCCGGTCATAGGCATCTTTAAGGCGACATAGGCGGGGACAGTGTTAGGGACCAGGCCTGGGAGAGGGTGGGGCCCTCAACACTGGAAAGGTCGGCCCGTGTTAGGGACCAGGCCTGGGAGAGGGTGGGGACCTCAACACTGGAAAGGTCGGCCCGTGTTAGGGACCAGGACTGGGAGAGGGTGGAGACCTCAACACTATAAAGGTCGGCCTGGGCTATGGTCCCTGCGGCTAGACTGCCGTGTGAGCGTGAAGATGGCCTGGCTACCTCCCCGCTGACCCCCACACATCTGATGGGAGCGGGGAGCAGGGGAGACAGGCTTGGAGCAGCATGACGGGCTGGTTATTTGTGCCCCACCCTTGCCATCCAGGAACAACTCAGCCAGACTTATTAGATGGGAGCTTTTGCAGGGTCACTCTGAGCTAGTGAGGAAAGAGAGATTCTCAGTGGTCATAAGGCGTGAGAGAGATAAACCCCACCATTTTGAAAAATAGAGTGTGGACAACTTCAGGAATTTTTACTGACATTTAATGAAGTGGATTAATATAATTTGGTGATATGGGACACTACTGTTTGCTGTGCAAAGGGTCACATCGCCTTTTGGACACTCTCCCCTCTGGGACAGCCCAGCCCCTCCGCTCTGGTCCAGGACCAGGACCTCCAGCTTGCGCATGCACTGAATGCATGAGAGTAGACACCCTGCCTACTCCGCACCCCTCTGTGTCGGGGGGAGAGCCCATCAGAGTCTGAAGTCAAGGATGACCGCATGTCCCCAGGGCTTGTCTGTGGCTTGTTCAGCAGACAGGTCGAAGTTGGTTACGGACTGTCCCAGCCCAGCCTAGCCCCAGGACAGCCCACACTGGGTTATTTCAGTCAATATCCCCAGAGGCGCTATTCCTGAGGGAATGGGACACCCCACGTGTGCTCACCTCTTAGGTACTTGGGGTCACTCAGCTTGAGGTAGAGGAGGGATCTCTGGATGGCAGCCTCCAACTTCTCCCCCAGCGTCCCCACGCGCAGGCTCAGCGGCTGCAGCAGGGGCTCCTGAGCCCACTTCTCCTGGACGCTTTTTAGCTGCTCTGGAAGAGATCGGAGTTAATTCACTCTACTATTTGGAATTGGGACTTTTTTGTTTTGTTTTGTTTTTTTGCCTTGAAACAGGGAAAAAAAAAATTTCCCCAAAGTCTAATGCTTCCTGGGAGCCTCTCTGGCTTCTCCAGCACTCAGAGGGGAAGGATTTACTGAGCTGACTGGAAATGAGGCCAGGATGAGGGTGATTTGGGCAATGGGAATGGGTGTCACAGTGGTAGAAGGTGGTGGCTGAGAGCTTGGTTTCTGGAGGCGGACCTGGGTTCAAATCCTTGATACTTGAGGTTCAAATCCTCAAATCCTTGACTCAGACACTTTCTTGTTGGATGGCCAGAGAAAGGTTGCAGGGTAGAGAACCACTGTGTACAGTTGAGCAGGTTGTACACTGCACAAGGGCAACACACATTCGGATCATGGGTTTGTATACGTAGTAAGACAATTTCCCAGCAGATGGCTGTCAAGTGACTTCAGGAAGGAAGGGCCTTTTTCTACTTCCCACAGAGGTACCCTGTGGGCTAGCAGTAGCTTCGTTGGGGTGGGAGAGAATGGTGAAGATCCAGTGATGGCCAGAAACTAGGGAGACATGAGGGAGAGCATCTGAGTGAGAGTACCCACACAGGGCTGAGAGGGCGAGGGATGAAGTAGGGCAGCTGCCGTCAGGTAGGAACCTTGTTAGGGAGGATGGGCTAGGTTAAGAAGGATGCTGAGGACGTCCTTCAGGGCAACTGGCTCTGTCACGCCCCTCTGCTCAGTCCCCTTCATGGGCACACCCGCAGGGAAGAAGTACAGACTTGGGAGTGCTAACAGGGAGAGGCTCCCGTGTGTCAGAGTGTCTCCTCCTGTGATTGCACCGGGTCTACAAAGTCCAACAGGACAGGGGTCCTGAACCCCCAGTTCAGTACTGGTCTATGGCCTGTTAGGAACGGGGCCGCACAGCAGGAGGTGAGTGGTGGGTGAGGGAGCGAAGCTTCATCTGTAATTGACAGCCGGTCCCCATCATTCGCTCTCGTTACCGCCTGAACTCTGCCTCCTGTCAGATCAGTGGCTGCGTTAGATTCTCACAGGAGTGCGAACCCTGTTGTACGAACTGCACATACGAGGGATCTAGGTTGCACACATTAGATGATGAGGATCTAATACCTGATGATCTGTCACTGTCTCCCATCACCCCCAGATGGGATTATCTAGTTGCAGGAAAACAGTCTCAGGGTTTCCACTGATTCTACATTATGGTGAGTTGTATAATTATGTATTATAATGTAATAACAATAAACAGAAAGTGGGCCGGGCACGGTGGCTCATGCCTGTAATCCCAGCACTTTGGGAGGCCGAGGCAGGTGGATCACTTGAGGCCAGGAGTTCAAGACCAGCCTGGCCAACATGGTAAAACCTTATCTCTACCAAAAATACAAAAATTAGCCGGGCATGGTGGCGGGCGCCTGTAGTCCCAACTAGTTGGGAGGCTGAGGCAGGAGAATCACTTGAACCCGGACGTGGAGGTTGCAGTGAGTCGAGGTGGTGCCACTGCACTACAGCCTGGGCAACAGAGCGAGACTCTGTCTCAAAATAATAATAATATTAAATACAAAATAAAGTGCACAATAAATGTAATGCACATGAGTCATCCTGAAACCTTCCCCTCCAACTCAGTTCATGGAAAAATTGCCTTCCGCAAAACCAGTCCCTGGTGTCAAAAAGGTTGAGGACCGCTGCAATGGGACGTAGACCCTGCCCACTGGGAGCTCATTGTTTAGAGAGATACAGATGAAGAAGCCGTTGCTGCTAGTCAAGGATGCTCAGCGCTTTGATAAATGGAAACAGTAATGGCTGACAAGTACTGCCCCACTGGTAAGATGACATAGACACACAATCTCACGAGATACATGTGCATGATTGTGTGCTACTGCCATCCACCAGCTCAGCTGAAGGATGAGGAAACCAAAACTCCACGAGAGCAGGTAACTCAGTGCCATGCAGCCAGTTGGGGGAGATCCAGGATTTGAACTCGGGCAGTCCGGTTCTGAAGTTCTGTTCTAGGCACTGGCACTGCCTTTGCTCCCTTCTGGGCACAGTTCACGCTTGTATTAAGCACTGAATTCCTGGGGAATCTCTTATGGAGCAAGATTATTGCGAGGGGAAGGGGCAGTGGATGTGTGATGTGGCGTGGGTGGAGAAGCCGGGCCCGCTGCGGCTGCCAAGGAGCGGGGAATCTGGTCTGAGGCTGTTAGGTGGGGCCGCGTTCCCAGTGAATGCTACCCAGTCATGAGTAAGAGAACCCCCTCCCTTCACTGGTAAAAGAGGATAATAATAATGGGTGTAACCTCAGGGAAGACGGGGAGAGGGCATTGAAGTACTCCATGCAGTGCACCTGGGTTGTGCCCACGTTGAGCAGATACTTAGGGAACTGCAGCTTTTGCTATCACACGCGCCCCAGGAAGCACCCACCCCCGTGGGAGCCACCTGCGTGCTTGTGTGTGATGTGCGTGTGTGTGTGCGTGCATGAGTGCTTGTGTGTGATGTGTGCTTGTGTGTGTGATGTGCGTGTGTGTGCCTGCGTGCTAGTGTGTGATGTGCGTGTGTGTGCGTGCATGCGTGTTTGTGTGTGATGTGTGCTTGTGTGTGTTGCGTGTGTGCGCGTGCATGTGTGCTTGTGTGTGATGTGTGTGTGCGTGCATGCGTGCTTGTGTGTGTGATGTGCGTGTGCGTGTGCATGTGTGCTTGTGTGCGTGATGTGTGCTTTGTGTGTGATGTGTGCTTTGTGTGTGATGTGCGTGTGTGTGTGCGTGCATGCGTGCTTGTGTGTGATGTGCGTGTGTGTGCGTGCATGCGTGCTTGTGTGTGTGTGTGCTTGCGTGTGTGTGATGTGCTTGTGTGTGCATGCATGCGTGCTTGTGTGTGTGTGTCATGTGCGTGTATGTGCGTGCATGCATGGTTGTGTGTGTGATGTGTGCTTGTGTGATGTGCATGTGTGTGCGCGTGCATGTGTGCTTGTGTGTGTGATGTGTGCTTGTGTGTGATGTGCGTGTGTTTGCGTGCATGCGTGCTTGTGTGTGATGTGCGTGTGTGTGTGCATGCGTGCTTGTGTGTGATGTGTGTGTGCATGCATGTGTGCTTGTGTGTGTGTGGTGTGCGTGTGTGCATGCATGCATGCTTGTGTGTGTGATGTGTGCTTGTGTGTGTGCTTGTGTGTGTGTGCATGCGTGCTTGCATGTGATATGCATGTGTGTGTGATGTGCATGTTTGTGTGCGTGCATGCATGCTTCTGTGTGATGTGCGTGTGTGTGCGTGCATGCGTGCTTGTGTGTGATGTGTGCTTGTGTGTGTGATGTGTGCGTGCGTCCATGCATGCTTGTGTGTGTGTGATGTGAGTGTGTGTGCGTGCATGCGTGCTTGTGTGTGGTGTGCGTGTGTGTGCGTGCATGCGTGCTTGTGTGTGATGTGTGCTTGTGTGTGTGCATGCGTGTTTGCGTGTGTGATGTGCATGTGTGTGTGCGTGCATGCGTGCTTGTGTGTGTGATGTGCGTGTGTGTGTGCGTGCATGCATGTTTGTGTGCATGCATGCATGCATGCTTGTGTGTGTGATGTGCATGTTCGTGTGCATGCATGCATGCTTGTGTCTGTGATATGTGTGTGCGTGCATGCATGCTTGTGTGATGTGCATGTGTGTGTGTGCATGCATGCTTGCGTGTGTGTGCGTGCGTGCATGCCTGTGTGTGTGCACGCATGCATGCGTGCTTGTGTGTGTGATGTGCATGTTTGTGTGTGTGCATGCATGCTTGTGTGTGTATAATGTGCGTGTGTGTGCGTGCATGCATGCTTGTGTGTGTGTGATGTGCGTGTGTGTGTGCGTGCATGCATGCATGTTTGTGTGTCTGTGCATGATGGGTGTGTGTGTGTGTTTGCCTTGGCCTGTCTCCAGCCCCCTTCTTGGGGATCTTATAGCTCTTAAAGCTAAACAAACACTTGACTGTTCTTGCAGAAACTTCAGGAGACTCTGGCTGGAAGTGGAGGAAGCAGGGTTGGAACCGGATCTTGAGGGTCCTGAGTTTTGTCCACAGCCAGCTCCCTCAAGGGGAGGGGCCCTCCCACAAATATCTGTTCGCGGAGCTCTCTCCCTGCTCCCCTTGTTCGTGGTGAGTCAGGAGGGGCTGTCAAATGGATCATTTCATTCTGAGAAAAAGATAATTCCCAAATCCCTTCCCATGTTGCCTTTAAATCTTTCCTACTTCTAAAAAATTGGTAACACTTAGCTGGGCCACAGCCCCCAGGAAGAGCCATCCCCTGGTCTCCTCTCTCCTTATAGCTGAGGCAGGCTATTCTGGGGCCAGGAGGCTGCCAGGTCCCAGGCGTACAGAGCAGGGCAGAGGACAAAGCTGAGAACTAGCTTCCCAGTGTCCAGCCAGGGGAACTGGGGCTCACTTACCTTCCAGCACACGGACCCCCACCATGCCATCCAGGTTGATTTCGGGCAGCCTCTGTTCTAGGAAGACGGTGGCTCTCTCCAGCGCAGACAGGATTGGGTCCGCAATGGTGGCTTTACTTTCGGCAGTGTCCAGTCCAGGCAGCGAGTAGGACCCCAGCGGTGGCAGTGCCGTCAGTAAGAGCAGGAGCAGCAGCCCCGGGCTGGCCATGGCTGGCCTCTGCTCACAGCTGGTCACACGCTCAGCACCCCGAGCTCTGGCCCAGCCCAGGCCGCCTCTGCACGCCCTCCTCCCACCTCCTCCCCACCTCCCCCTGGCAGACCTGAAGACCAGTGGCCCGGCAGGGCTGCCAAAAACCTGGGGTGGCCTGGGCAAAGGACTCTGGGAAGGGTGGCTGTGGGGGGATGACTGCGAGGCAGCGGAGGTTAGACCAGTCCTGGGCGTAGAGCCTGCTGCCCGCGGGGTGCTGGGGAGAGGGGTGCCCGCCCTGTCCTTCTTGGCCCTGATTCTCTAGACCCACAGGCTACATCTTTGATCTAGCAATGGCAATTCAACCCAGAAATCCAAAAGCTCTGAAAGCAAAAAACAAATTTTTTTTTCTTTCTTTGTTTTTTGAAATAGGGTCTCATTCTCTTGCCCAGGCTGGAGTGCAGTGGTTTGATCACAGCTCACTGCAGCCTTGACCTCCTGGGCTCAATAGATCCTCTTGCCTTAGCCTCCTGAATAGCTGGGACTAGAGGCATGTGCCACCTTGGTTGGCTAATTTTTTCTTTTTTATAGAGACAGGGTCTCACTATGTTGCTCAGGATGGTCTTGAACTCGTGCGCTCAAGTGATCCACCCTCCTCGGGCTCCCAAAGTTCTGGGATTACAGGCATGAGCCACCACACCCAGCCTTTGTTTTAAATCAATTTGAAACAAACTCTTTTTTTCTTTTTTTTTTTTGAGACGGAGTCTCGCTCTGTTGCCCAGGCTGGAGTGCAGTGGCCGCATCTCAGTTCACTGCAAGCTCCATTCTCCTGCCTCAGCCTCCTGAGTAGCTGGGACTACAGGCACCCGCCACCTCGCCCGGCTAGCTTTTTGTATTTTTTAGTAGAGACGGGGTTTTACTGTGTTAGCCAGGATGGTCTCGATCTCCTGACCTCGTGATGCACCCATCTCGGCCTCCCAAAGTGCTGGGATTACAGGCTTGAGCCACTGCGCCCGGCAACAAACTCATTTGAGGGCACATCTGCCTTGAGCTGAGGCAAACTTCCTTAGAGGGGCACCGTCCAGTTGAAATAGAATTGGAGCTACAAAGGTGAGCCATGTGTGCATTTCAACATTTCCTAGCAGCCACATCCAAGAGAGCGGCAATAAGCGGGTGAAGTTAATTTTAACGATCTAGTTTATTTGACCCAAGATTTAAAATATTATAATTACATCTGTAATCAATATAGAAATGATTTATTTTTATTTTTCTCATACTAAGTCTTTGAAATTGATGAGTAGTTTACGTTCACAACACTATTATTTTATTTTATTTTTTATTTTATTTATTTATTTATTTTTGAGATGGAGTCTCGCTCTGTCGCCCAGGCTGGAGGGCAGTGGCGCGATCTCGGCTCACTGCAAGCTCCGTCTCCCAGGTTCACGCCATTTTCCTGCCTCAGTCACCCGAGTAGCTGGGACTACAGGCGCCCGCTACCACCCCCGGCTAATTTTTTGTATTTTTAGTAGAGATGGGGTTTCACTATGTTAGCCAGGATGGTCTCGATCTCCTGACCTCGTGATCCGCCTGCCTCGGCCTCCCAAAGTGCTGGGATTATAGGGGCCGGCCTTTATTATTTTATTTTTAAGAGACAGGGTCTCACTCTGTTGCCCAAGCTGGAGTGCAGTGGCATGGTCATAGTTCACTGCGGTGTTGAGCTCCTGGGCTCAAGGGACCCTCCTGCTTTAGCCTCCCAAGTAGCTGGCACTACAGGTGTAAGCCACCATGCCAGGCTGGGCACATTTCATTTCAGACTATCCACATTTCAAGGGCTTGAAGGTCACATGTAGCTGGTATACTGGGCAGTGTCTTAGTTTTGTGCTACTACAACAGAATACCTGAGACTGAGGAATTTATTTTTATTTATTTATTTTTTTTGAGACGGAGTCTCGCTCTGTCGCCCAGGCTGGAGTGCAGTGGCGCGATCTCGGCTCACTGCAAGCTCCGCCTCCCGGGTTCACGCCATTCTCCTGCCTCAGCCTCCTGAGTAGCTGGGACTACAGGCGCCCGCCACTGCGCCCGGCTAATTTTTTGTATTTTTAGTAGAGACAGGGTTTCACCGTGGTCTCGATCTCCTGACCTTGTGATCCGCCCGCCTCGGCCTCCCAAAGTGCTGGGATTACAGGCGTGAGCCACCGCGCCCGGCCGACTGAGGAATTTATAAAGAAAAGAAATTCATTTGGCTCATAGTTCTGGAGGCTGGGAAGTCCAGTTCAAGGGGCTGCATCTGGCAGGGGTCTTCTTGCTGTATCATCCCACGGTGGAGGGCAGAAGGGCAAGAGAGCTAGAGAGAGAGAAGAGAAAGAAGCTAAACTCACTCCTTTATCAGGAACACGCTTTTGCAATAACAGCATGAATCCATTCATGAGGGCAGAGGCCTCAGGAAAGATTCCATCTCTCAACACTGTTGCATGGAGAATGAAGGTTCCAACATACGAACTTTAGGGCACACACTTAAACCACAGCAGAGTGTGAGGACCTAGCGTCCTTATTTATTTCACTCAGTGTGAACGTGCATCTCTTTCCTTGCAGAAGTTTTCATGTTGGTTTCCTGGGCGCTGTCCCAAACCTTGCTGGGGATGTTATATGTATGCACACCACGTTATCTTTCTAAAAGCCAAACAATTTTGAATTCAGAAACATACTTGGTTCCAAGGGCTTCAGTTAAGAGATTACAGATCTGTAACAATAATGAAAAGAACACCACTAAAGTGTGTATTTGATGCTCCCTATGTGCAGGTGCTAGGTTAGGGTTTCTCCACCTTTTCATGTCATCATGGCTCTTTTTTCTACCCCTGGAGTGTTTTTAGACATGTTAATCCTGAAAAATCTTTAATAAGAGGCTTATTGAGATACTATTCACGTACCATAAAATTCACCTTTTAAATGTGTACAGTTTCACAGTGGTTTTCAGTATATTCACAAAGTTGTGCAGCCATCGCTGTCTACCTCCAGAATGTTTTTGCCACCCCAAAAAGAAATCCCATGCCCATTCGCAGAAACTCCCTATTCCCCCCTCCCCAGCCTCTGGCAACCATGAATCAACTTTCTGTATCTATGGTTTGACCTACTGTGGATATTTCATATAAATGGAATCATACAATGCGTGGCCTTTTGTGTCTGGCTTCTCTCACTCAGCGTGATGTTTTCAAGGCTCATCTGTGTTGCAGCACATATCAGTACTTTATTCTTTTTTATGGATGAATAACATCGCCTCCTAGGGAAGCCCCTCCTGCTCTGATGAGCTAAGAGGATGAGGATTATGGAGATGACAAACCAAAAGTAGACAGCTAGGCCAGGTGTGGTGGCTTACGCCTGTCATCCCAGCACTTGGAGAGGCCGAGGCCGGCAGATCACTTGAGGTCAGGAGTTCAAGACCAGCCTGGCCAACATGGTGAAACCTGGTCTCTACTAAAAATACAAAAATTAGTTGGGCGTGTTGGCATGCAACTGTGATGCCAGCTACTTGGGATGCTGAGGCAAGAGAATCACTTGAACCTGGGAGGCAGAGGTTGCAGTGAGCCGAGACTGCACCCCTGCACTCCAGCCTGGGCGACAGAGTGAGACTCCATCTCAAAACAAACAAACAAACAAACTAACAAACAAAAAAGGAGACACCTGGGAAACCTTGGGTGGGAGGCTGCGGGAGCTGTGGACAGACTGCACTCCATTCATCACTCATCCGCTGATGAGCCTTTGGGTGGTTTCCACGATTTGATTCTTGTGGACAGTGCTGATATTTATTTACAAGTTTTTGTTTGGAAACCTGTTTTTCATTCTCCTGGGTGTATACTTGGGAATGCTATTGCTGGGTCATGTGGTAATTCTATGTTGAATCTAATGAGGGACCACCAACTGTTTTCCACAGTGGCTGGGCCAGTTACATGCCCAATGGCCGAAGATGAGGGTTCCTCATGTACTGCCCCATGAAATTTTATTTTACTTATTTATTTTTTTGAGACAGGGTCTTGCTTTGTCACTTAGGCTGGAGTGCAGTGGTGTGATCATAGTTCACTGCAGCCTCGACCTCCCTGGGCTCAGGTGATCCTCCCAGCTCAGTCTCCCGAGTAGCTGGGACTACAGGCACACGCTACCATCATTTTTTTTGGTATTCTTTGTAGAGATGGGATTTACCATCATTTTTTTTGGTATTCTTTGTAGAGATGGGATTTCACTATGGTGCCTAGGCTGGTCTTGAACTCCTGAGCTCAAGTGATCCTTCTGCCTCAGCTTCCCAAAGTGCTGGGATTACAGGCATGAGCCACTGCTTTCAGCGTTCATGAAATTTTAATACTGCAGATATACTGCAGGCTTGTGTATTGCATCGATATCGGTGCTTTATACACAAAAAGGGTAAGGATGTTTTGCTCCCCAAGAACCATTTATCTCCCCTTGGGAGCACCACTGGGAACCCAGGTTCCAGGGGAAGCTTGTCATTGTCATTACTTCTGCTAATCCTTGACAACCCCTCAAGCGGGTGCCAACCATCCTGAACAAAATCTGAGGCTCCAAGGGAGATTGAGTGACTTATCCATATGTCCCAATACAGTAACAGCATTACTTTAGTCGGGGAAATACACTGCTGTGTAGGGAATCTGGTGTATGTGCATGTGTACTACAACTAATAAATCTTGGCCCCAGGGGCTCCTGGGGGTTCCCTGGACCCCTCTTAGGGAACCGCATCCCCATGTCGTCCTCTCTCGGTCCACTTCGGAGGCTCGGTCTGCGGCTGCGCACAGCGCGCGGAAGCGCGGTCACGTGACTGTTGCGGGCCCGCCAAGATGGCGGCGTCCTGGTTGGTCTTCCTGGCGCTGTGTCTGCTGTTGCCGCTGCTGCTGCTGGGAGGATGGAAGCGCTGGCGGCGGAGGCGGGCGGCCCGGCATGTAGTAGCCGTGGTGCTGGGCGACGTGGGCCGCAGCCCCCGTATGCAGTACCACGCGCTGTCTTTGGCCATGCACGGCTTCTCGGTGACCCTCCTGGGGTTCTGCAGTGAGTGGCCAAGGGTCTGGGAGGGAGGATGCTCTCTCATCCTTTGATCCTCGGTTCTAACCGCCCTGGGGAGTCGAGGCGGAAGTGCTCCTTTTGTCGCTGCCTTTGGGCAGCTCTCCGAGATTGGACGAGCGGGTTCTGCCCAGCCTTTCCTGGGTGGATCACTAAGTATAGGCGGCGTTAATCTTGCCACGTGTCAGAA